ACAGTTGTAGTCAAATGTTATAGAATCATCTGTTTGGTTTATTAAGATCTCCATTACTGAATACAATCACTAGTCTATCTCTTGGAGTCCACTAAAAATCCACTCTATTTTTAGAGTTTACTCTATGTTGCAATAGGGGTCGTGTGGTGCAGCAGTAGCACGTTCGGCTCAGGACCTAGAGGTCCCGGGTTCAATCCCCAACCATGTCCATGTGCCCTTGGTAAAGGCACTTTACACGACTTTCCGCACTTCACTTAGGTGTAAATGAGTACCTACCTTCAGTTAGGGACGTCCCTCAAATAGGACGTTAAATGGAGGTCCCGTGTTTGGGGAGAGCCACACCCCGCGCACGTTAAAGAACCCACCACACCTTTTGAAAAAAAGTAGGGGCATGCCCCGGTGTGCGATGGTACAAATTCTACAATCCAGAGTCTTGCCAAGAATTGGCATGCCAGACTGATCAGTATGATGATTGTGGGCATTAAAGGAAAGACAAGACAATATTAATACATGTAATAAAGTGCCAAGATTCGTTCCCAACCTGTCCCTGTGTTACCCCACACCACAGGTGCAGTCAGCTCGGGACTCCAATGCTGCAGAGATGAACAGACTAAGAACCCAGCTTCAGAACCTCACACAGTCCATAGAGGAGCTGGAGAAGAAGGCTCAACGACTCAAGAAGGAAAACGAGACACTGCTACCTGAAAGAGACATTGTCAGGGTGGGTTGACCGTCTTGTTCCTGAGCTTTCAATACCATAGATTGATCCCAGCATTTCAAAATGTAGAAATGCAGGGAACAAAGCATAGAAAAGCACCAGCCTGGGAGCATCAACTTGAATTCCTATTGGTTGAATGGTCATTTTGATTGACAGCTAGAATCCCATCAAGTACAAGGTCTTGTTCCATGTAAGAGTACTTAATAAAATTGAGACTTAGAAGAACTTCATAATCTTCAACCATGTTATAATTACAACTTGGTTCCTTTCAAATCAATTTTCATAGTATATTGCATTATAGCGTCTGATGGCTGATGCTATAATTGAAGTTTGTGGACTGAATTTTAACAACCAGATCTAGTACATGTAGTATGTTAGTTGAGGTAAGCTTTTAACAGGTACCCTTTTAACTCACAGAACCAACATGACGAGATCATCTCACAACTAAACCAGCGGATGGCCGACAAGGCTGGCAAGCAGATCACGCTGAACGAAACACGGGAGAAGCTACGAGAGACAAACCAGGAAATTCTGGATGTGGAGCAGGCCATCATTGATCTGAAGGAGGACATGATAGAAGAGAGGGCTAACGCCAGGCTCGAGAAGAAGCGCCTAAAAGACAACATCGCCGACACGCAACAGAAGATCAAAGACCAGAAAGAGGCCAACGAAGGTCTGAAAAAGCAGATCAACAACTTGATGGAGGAACTTCTGGAGTCAGACACGAAGAATGCAGAACAGAAAAAGACCATCCGGCGGTCAGAAAACATGGTGGAGCGGCTGGAGAGCCAGGTCAGACAGCTGGAGGAACAATTGGAGAAGGAGAAACAGGAAAACGTTCAGCTGGACAGAGAAGGGGACCGGCTGAAGGAGGAGTTCGAGAACATCAAAAAGGACCTGACGGGCAAGAAAGCCGAGCTGCAGAAGAGGTTGCAGGAGTTAGAAGACGAGACAAAGGAGGCACTGGAGGAGAATCAGCAGGTGGAGTCCCGCCGAGCTCACCTGAAGGCGGAGACTAAGAAGGCCGTAGAGGAGATGGAGTACAGCGCGGCTAAGCTGGAGGAGCTGAGGGAGATCTCCAGACAGGGCAAGGCGGAGCTGACACGGCTGGCGGAGGAGAGCGCCCGGCTGAGGATGGAGAACCAGGAGCTGGAGCAGGGCATTGAGCAGCTGCAGGAGAACCACAAGGCAGCTGTACAGATGCTGAACAAACAGGTGGAGGAGTCCAGGGAACAGCTGACCAGGGAACGCAACGACAGGTTTGAACTCCAGTCCAAGAAGTCAGACACGCACAAGGACCTGGAGGAGTTCAGAGCAAGCAGCTCAAGGTATCTTTGACACCTGTCTTTCTATGTGCCGAGAAGACTCAAATGCTTGATAGATGAGGATTGTATATTAAAAATTCAATGTTTACAAAC